TTTTTTGTGGAACCAGGGATTGAACTCAGGCCCTTGTGCTTGCCAGGAAAGTGCTTATTCCACTGAGCCATATCCCCAGCCCCCAGAAATTTTAAAGTTTATCATGTTGCAGTGGCTGAAGCTGGAAATCAATCACACATGGGGCTAAGACAAAACTGTCCTGAGAACACAGAAAGCCCCTCCAGCCATGTAAACAAGCTGTTCCAGCTGCAGGCTGGTTATTAGGCAGAGGTTGAAGTTGACATCAACCTCCCTAGTGTACACATAGAGGCCGCTAGGTGATTTCCTGTCCTCTCTTCCCATCTGGAAAGAGGCCTCCACTTACCTCAGCTTTTCTCTGCTGTCCTTATTTTCTAAATCCCCTTGCCATTTTCTGACCAGGACCACAGAGAGCTGTGCTGGTTCACAGAATTCTCAGCATTCTACTACTCAATTTTGTTGTTGTTGGCAATGCCTTTGGTGTCATGCCCACAAAATTTTTGTTAATGCCATGTCATAAATCTTTCCCTTATTTTCTTCTACTAGTTTTATATTTAAAGATTTTCTGCCTAGGACTTTAAAGTATTTTAAGCCAGGTTTTGTATATGATGTCCAAAGGACCCAAGTACAATCTTTGCGTGTGTATATCTAATTTCTCCAACACAACTCATGAAGAAATTGTCCTTTCAGATTAAATGGTCTTGATAGCCTTGTCAAAACTCACATGATCACACATGTCAGGGATTATTCCCAGGCGTAATATTTTATTTTGTTGATCTATATGACCCTGTTAATGCCAGTACCATGCTATTTTTTTAGTATAACTTGCAAGATGTTTTGAAATCAGTAAAGAGTAGACCTTCAACTTTATTTTTCTGTTTTAAGCTGTTTTGATCATTTAGTGTCTCTTAAGAAGCCATATGAATTTTAACATGAAATTTTCCTTTTTGGAACAAAAGGCCATGGGAATTTTATTTTATTTTTATGTATCTAGTACAGGGTCTACAGGGTCTTACTACACCGACTGGAGCACTCGTAATGTTCCTCCTGTCTTCAGCCTCCCAAGCACTGGCATTACAGGCACGTGCCACTATGCTGAGTCTCAATCTCTGTGTCTCAGTGTGGCTGGGGGGGTGAGGCCAGCATGGCACACTGGGAATCAAACTCTGGTCTCTGCATCTGCCTAAGTAGGTGCTCTAATCTGCTGAGCTATCTGGCCTGCCTGGTCATGGGGATTTTACAGCAGATGGCATTGAATCTGTGAGGTGTTTTGAGTAGCACTGATTTTCTTTTCCTTTTTTTTTTTTTTTTTTTTTTTTTTTTTCAGTACCAGGGATTGAACTTGAGACCCTGAGTTTGCCAGGCAGGCACTTATGTTGCTGAGCTATATCTCTGGCCCAATTTTCTAAAGAATATTAGGTCTTCTAATCAATGAACACAGGATGTCTTTCCTGTAGTAGATTTTTTCATACTGTTTTGCAGCATGTTTAGTACTTTCAGTGTAGAAGTCCCGCTGTTCTCTAAGTAACACCCGTAATATTCCCACTTGCACTGTCTTCGTTAATCTGTGCGACCTTAAAGGATCACCAAGTTCTTGATTCTATCTTTCTCTCATATGATATTGACAACCTTTGCATTGTTGCAATAAATATAGACCAAAAAAAGACCAATACAAAAAAAGAAGTAATAATGACACCTAGTATTCTTTTCCATTTTCATGTAATGGTAATCTCAATCGAGAGAATTAACACCACTAAAATGTGCCAGACCTCATCAGTAAGCAACAGTTGAGCATACATTTGTTTTGAGGGAGAGTGTGTGTATTCAGTTTGGCTCAATTCTAATACTCGTGAACATTTCTGTACCTCGCACCACACCCAGGAACAGGGCACTTGCATTAAAGCGATAGCAACTCTGGCCTTCAAAAGCCACCGTTGCCTTCCTTCTCCTTGATCTCACTAACACCCACAACCACAAATCCACATAGCGCTCTCATTTCATGAAAGCTTTAAGAATTGAATCATATTATATGTCACATTTGGAAACTGGAAATTTTCCTTCACAAAATTCCCTTGAATCCATCTAAGTTGTTGTAATATTGACAATATCATAACTAATAGTAAGCATGAGCCACAAGTACACTGAAATGAAATTGGATTTTTAGGTGATCATTTATCATGAGGCTTTATTGAGCTCACTAATATTTTGAAGAGCCTGGCGGGGGGATTTTCTTTATGTGCAGTCATGTTGTGTGCACACAGGGGCAGTTTATTTCCACCTTTCCAAGATGTGTACCTTTCCTTTCTTCTCTTAACATAGCACAATGGCTAGAAGTTCAGCACTATATCAAGTAAGAGTGATGAGGGTGGTTGTGCCCAGTCTGGATAGAAGCCAGCCCTTCCCCACTATCTCTGATGCTGGCCGTGGGTGTATTTTTGGGTGCTTCTTATCATCAAACAGGGGAGTTCTTCAACAGTCCAGCTGTACAGGGTCTGTGTTAGCAGTGGAAGGAGGGTTTTCATGTGTTGTGTTCTAACTCAAGGGATCCAATCTTGGCCTTCTCTTCTGTTTCTAGGGTGGGTTTCCTTGATTGGTTTTACAAATCAGAGCGTGTGGCACGCTTTCAGTTGCTCATCTTCTCATCCCAGTGAGACAATGTGATAATTATAATGTACAGTATATACTGTGAAGTAGGAAGACACAGTTCAAGTGGGGAGGAGAACTAAAGGGGGAGAGGAAGGAAGGAGGAGAAAAAGAGAAAAGGATAAAATGCAGGCAAGGCTTCTGAAATAGAGAGTGGAAGGGGTTGAAAGGAGAGGAAGGAAGTGTGGAGAAAGAAAAATCATGATTTATCGTGTACGGGTACAAATTCCCTATGATGAATGTGATCATTATGTGGATGTAAATTGTACCAATAAAGTTAATTTTGAAACATTAGGCCACCCTTGAATACCTGAAGCAGTCCCATTCGGTCATGCTATGTATGTTTATGTAGTGCTCTATCTCACGACCTAATATTTTATTGTGTTTACATTCATTTGTTATATTGATCTATTTTACTTTTTGTACTGCTTAAAATATTTTAGGCAGAGCAAATCTCTATGTTCAACTTTGCTATGAGTCTTGAACTATTCTAAAAAAAGACTTTAAAAAATTGGTATTTTTTGCATGTTTCTTAGACTACTAAGTTGAACCCATCTAAGTCCAACAAATTCTTTTTAAACAGATTTGAAATTGCACATTCAGTTTTCCTTTGTGATTTTGATTATTTCAACTGATGTTTGCACATGTTTTTTTGAGTTTTTTATTTTCACTCATGAAAAAATGCTCTGTTTATTTCAAGGTATTAAATTTATGATCACAAATTTACTTATCATAGTTTGAATTTTAAAATTTATTTACTATTTTATTTCTGTTTGTTATATCTAACTTTTCTTTTAATTTTCTTATTTTTACATATTCTAAATTTCTGCCATATAAAACCTACATTTACATAATAAACTTCCTTTGTTCTACAAAGGATAACAAAGTATTCTGATTCCTAGAATTTGTAGAAGAACTTCGCACATTTTATGACACTTTCCTAGCTTTTATCTGTATCAATGGCCTTCAAATCATTTTAGAGACCTTCACAACAGACCTTGACCACAGCGATGCCCCCATGGAGCCTGTTGTGTGTATGAGTGAGACCCAGAGCTGCGTGTCCTCCACATGAACAGCAGCCCGGCACCAGCTAGATAAATGGACACCATCACAAAGATGTGCGAGGATGCCCTGTGTCGTCCTTATTTTCTTGGAACCACAGAATTAACAATTTTTGCAACAATTTAATTGCTTCAAAGCAATGAAATAGTGTGGTGCCTCAGTTTGCAACTTAATTCTTACCACAATTCCAGTCACAGTATTCATTCCATGATTGCAACAAAATTGTAAGCATAGTACAAACTATGGAACAAATTCTGGGACCAGAACTGTGGAAAGAGTTGAACTCATGAACCAGGTGTCACTATATCAAGTTATATATAAACTGATGCCTGATGCCTTTGCCCAATTTTATTAGTACAAAATTAACATATGTACCATATTATCACTTTGTGCATCTTAAATTTGGATAATTAAAATAACAATAAAAATATTAGGGGCCAGGGAGATGGCTCAGTGGAATAAGCGCTTCCCTGGCAAGCGCAGGGGCCTGAGTTCAATCCCCAGTTCTGCAAAAAAATAAAAAATAAAAAATTAAGTCAGGAAATGTGGCATCATAGTTCTTGACATTACAGGTAGCTTTACTAAGGCTTGGAGTGCACAGAGACATAATAACAAACAAGAAATTGCAGAGCTATCAAGCAAACTGAGGGCTTGTAGGCGAAAAGAGATAGAAAGACAAAGCATTGATGGCTGCATGCAGAAGACCCAGTCTTGCCTGGCTCCAGGAGGTAGCGCTCTCCTGTCCCCACAGGTAGCGCTCCTGGGTGCTGTAGTCTGGGACCAGGTGCTAGTACACAAGGTAATAAGAAAAGGACCCCACACTTGGGGACCCAAGCACAGTGCTGGTGATTTCTGTGATCCCTGGGTTGGCCCACAAAGCGCTCTGAGGATCTCCATAGAGAATAAAGGACTCTTCACCACCCCTTGCCCTGAGTAGCTGAGGACTTCAGGCTTCCTGCCTCCCCAGGACAGAAGATGATGAATCAAACACTGGCCACACACTGCAGCTTCCAGGACCAAGGGAGTTGCAGTCCCAGCCCAGGGCAAGGCCCAGAGCCTCCCTAATTGGCCATGGGAGGCCCCAAGTCCCAGTCCTGCCAGGTGCAGAGTCTCCTCCCCATGGTGTGTCCTGAAGTACAGGAGCATCCACGTGCTGCCCAGCTACTAAGGATAGGAGAGGAGGCGAGGAGAGACTGCCCTTGCCGCCCTTATTCCACAGACACCCAGGAACTCACTGCTGCCAGAGCAGGACACCCAGATTCTCAGGGGGACCCCAGGTGCTGAGCTCTGCCCAGGACAGCCTCCCACCTCTGCTCAGGACCCAGAGCTGAGCTGCACAGGAGCCAGCATCCGCAGTGCCCACCTCAGCACCCTCAGCACAGAGCAGGCTAGGGAGCACAGGCCCCCTGGAGAGCAGCTAATGGCCCTGAGGTCCTATGCATCGAAGGCAGCAGGGCTGAGTGCGCAGTAAGCACTCAGGACTTGCTCTCAGGGTGACGTGGAGCCCTTGCCCACTCTGGTCAGCCTTCACCTCATCTCCAGGTCAGTGAGGTAAGTGTCTGTGAATCCTGGGTTTGGAAGCAACCCTAGTGCGCCTTGTTAATCACAGGCTCTGATTCTGGTCCACCTCCTACATCTACCAGCTCACAGGGGAGTGTGATGCTGCAGGTGCAGGACAGAGTCCATATGAGGGTGGGAAGGAAGGTGGGGACAGGGTCCATGACAGCAAGAGTCACCCAGCTGGCCAGCCACACAGTGCCTGCCTCAGCCCATGGCCAGCAGCTTGTCCGCAGATGGGCACACCTGCGTCCTCAGCAAGCTGGAGACCCCTCCCTCTTCCAGCACAAATCAATGAACTTGTCACTCAGGATGAACATTCCTTTTTATCTTCAATGTAAAAAAAAATCTGTGATCATAATTATAACCACCAACAAATTTATATGAAGAGGAATTGGCAAGAGTGATACACACAACACAATTTCATTTAAACCTTTCCAGCTGGCAGTGGGAAAGTGCTACTTAGTATATGGGGAAGACAGTGAGGCTTGCTCCAGGTCCCAGGTCCCAGGTCCCACCATGCATCCAGAGGGGTAGAGCTGTGCAGCAGCAGCAGGACCCAGCACACCAGAGTCCCCCTGGGACCCTCAGGAAGATGCAGGGCAGATCCCACACCCCTCCCCAGCCAGGGTCCACAGAACAGCCCAACATGACTGCTTCCTGGAGACAGCAGAGCAGCAGGGCCACCTCCTCTCCAGATGATGCTGCCTTGTCTATGCAGCAACAGAAAGAGTGCAGAGAAAATTATCAGGAATAGCCACATAAGCCTGGACAAAGGCCAGCTGTGGTTTTCAAAAGGTAAGAGTGAAACCTGTCTAAATCCCCGTGAGGAGACGGAAGGATGTACACATCCCAAATGCACCACAGTGCCTGCCCTTCTGTCTATGAACAGGTTTGAGGGCTCACTCCTTCCGATCCAGAAGAAGCTCACCATCTGTGCATGGTGGGGAGTCCTTGCTACCCTCAAGGGGTAGAGAGCTTGGAAGTTCCAGCTCCAGTGTGGTCCAGTCTCAAACAGAGATGTGGAGGTAGGAATGAGTGTCCTCCCACCTGAAGGGGCACAGACTTAGTGGGGAGACCTAGACCATGCTCTAGGTCCCACCTGGAGTGTGACAGCGCTCAGCCCAAGCACTGGTGGCAGAAGGTCCTCACCACCATCACCGAGTCAGGCTGGGTGCAGACAGGGCCTGAGAAGTGCAGAATTGGACACAGGAGCTGAAGAGCTCACCTGAGCAGTAAGAACGCTGGTCCGTGAGAAGCAGGCAGGTGAGATGCACTAGGTTTGCCTGGCATGCGTATGCACTCAGCTCTGGATGCTGTGCTTCCTCCACAGCTCCACTCAGAGTCCTACGAATTGAGACTTAGCACATATTCATGAATTAAAAAAATCAAAGGAAATTTCCTATTCTAGGCCATGGTGAACTCTTCTACAAAGAGCACATAGGAGCTGGTGGCTTCAAGCTTGGTGGACAGCATGGCGGCAGCAGGTCACTGGGGGCTGCAGAACATGTGATAGTGTGACTGTGGCCTGTTCCTCGCACTGCCTCCACTGTCCTCCCTGCATAGCGCACCCAGCTCAGGGCCATGAAGACCCACAGACATGGGAACCTCTCGGGGGTGCACTGGCAGGAGTTTGTGCTGGAGGGCTTCCAGGGTGGTGTGGAGACCCAGGCCCTGCTCTTTGCTGTCTTCCTGGTCCTATACACTGTGACCATCCTGGGCAACCTCACCATGATCACAGTCATCACCCTGGATGCCCGGCTGCACTCCCCCATGTACTTCTTCCTCAAGAACCTGTCCTTCCTGGACGTCTGCTACTCATCTGTCATTGCTCCCAATGCCTTGGTCAACTTCTTCTCCTCCACCAAAGTCATCAGTTTTGGAGGCTGTGCTACCCAGTTCTTCTTCTTCTCTTTACTGGTCACCACTGAGGGCTTCCTACTAGCAGTAATGGCCTACGACCGCTTCCTGGCCATCTGCAGCCCCCTACAGTATCCTGTGACCATGCACCTGAGCAAATGTACCTGCCTAGTGCTTGGCACCTATTGCGGAGGCTGCCTGAACTCTGTTGTGCAGACCAGCCTCACATTCCAGCTCCCCTTCTGCCGCTCCAACCGCATCAACCACTTCTTCTGTGACGTTCCCCCACTGCTGCAGCTTGCCTGTGCCAACACAGCTCTCAATGAGCTGGTCATGTTTGGCATCTGTGGGCTCATTATTGTGGGCACCACTCTTGTGGTCCTCATCTCCTATGGCTACATTACAGTGACCATACTCAAGATGCACTTGAACTCGGGGAGACAAAAGGTCTTCTCCACCTGTGGCTCCCACATGACAGCTGTGTCCTTGTTTTATGGGACAGTGTTTGTCATGTATGCACAGCCAGGGGCCATGGAGTCCATGGAGAAGGGCAAGGTAGTCTCCATCTTCTACACTCTGGTCATCCCAATGCTCAACCCCCTCATCTACAGTCTGCGGAACAAGGATGTGAAAGATGCCCTGCGGAGGTTGTGGCAGAGACGGGAGGCCCTGTGAAGGGGTGGTCAGTGAGAGATGTCCTTCGGATGAAGGGAATAACTCCATGGAAGAGGTGCTTGGTTGAGAAATTCTTTCATTTATATCTCTTTCCTTTCTTTTCTAATTCATTCTCTTTCTTTTGTCTTTTCCTCCACTCATTCTCCATCCTCTTTTGAAGGTATATTGTGATCCAGGAGTTTACTAAGATGAACGAGTCATGCTCTTTTCCTTCACAAAACTAGTGGTCCCTCTGGGTCTGGTGGCACAAGATGTAATCCCAGCACTCAGAAGGGTGAAGCAAAAAGAATTGCTGAGTTTGAGGCCAGCCTAGGCTGCAAAGTGAGTTCAAAGCAAGCCTGAACTTCATGCCAAAAGCCTGTATCAAAAAGACAAAAAAGGCCCTTCAAGGTCAGTGAGGACTCAGGACATAAGAGAACCTCTGCTGTAACATCCTGTAACTCAGTGGTGTCCCAAAGTTTCTGATCAAGGAGATTATGGGGCCACACAGGAAAGTGATCAACGATGTGTAGTGTGCCTAAGGAGAGTCACCAAAATTTCTCTCAAGCTTCCACAGAAAGCAAATTGGTCGAGCAATGGCCATGACTCATCCCCATGGCTGATACTGACAAAAGATCTACATGCTGCTCTACATGGTTCCACGGTAAACCCTGAGATTTTGACTGAATTTGTCAGAGAGCAAAAGTTACATTTTTAATTGTATAGGTCTTGCTTTAACTTGGTCTTAACCATCCAGCAGAAAAGTGTAACCACGAAGTATTAAAAGTAAAGACATATTAATATACTGAGCTGTAAAAGGCTAAAATCAACAACTTCTGACAATAGCCAGTTGTGCTGATAACTCACTATTATTTTGGACTACTGGATTATATTGGGTTAGTCTGCTGAATTCAGGTACCTACAATCTTTGCTCTGGCATCAAGTATGAAAAGGTCCTTTAAAGCTTCTCCAAATAAAGCTTCTCTAAATGCAGTGGAACACCCGTCTCTGACAAAACAAAACAAAAAAAGGGGGATATAAATAAAGGTCCAACTTGTTATAAAAATATCTATATCTATCTACACATGTACATACAAGATAGGATATATATATACAACTGTTTTCTCTTAGTTCATTCATTGAGAAGAAAGCTTTGTAACAATATTGTTTAGACAAGATATCATGTCTGCATCTTGTCCTCTGAATAACTACTACAAAGACAACAATTTGCAATGTATTAGTTATTGTAACTGTCCTACTAACCTGTTTTGAAACTGTTTCATGGCTATTTTATTTTTTTCTTATTAAAATGAATTTTAAAAAGACAAAAAAGAAAACTACTGGTCCAGAGATGGAACAGAATTTAAACAACCTTCTGTTGGGGTAATACACGCACGTATGTTCATGTATATTTACATTTGTTGTACTTTATTTTAACCAAAACCCAAGCACTGATTTCATTTGTTGGCATTTAAAGGGTTTTTGTTTTCCTATGGAAGGAAGTAGATTTGGAAGTTTCACTTTTATTGATAATCCAATTTTGAGAAAATTTGAGCTTCCCAGCGGCATTCACATAGCATTTTCCTCCCGGACTCACCAGGTGCAAGACTGGCCAGGGTCTAGTGGCCTCTTCTGTGGTCAAGTAAAAGGCCTTTTGACCCTGTTTTTTTTGTTTCAATTCAAATTCATATCAATTCCCCTCAAAAATATGCTTAAAATAACAATTTAAATCTATGAATAGTCTGAGGAGATAGCTCAGTAGAATAAGCACTTGCCTGGCAAGCACAAGGGCCTGAGTTCAATCCCCAGTTCTGCAAAAAAAATTTTAAAAAAAGAATAAATCTATGAACAAATATTCCCTACATGGTGAGTTACATGTTGGTCACTCTGATCTGAAAAAGATTTCCTTTGTCTCAAAAGAGTGAGTCTGAGACTAAATCAGCGCTATACATAGTGCAAACATGAACTCACAAGCCCGCAGCTCAAGGAACTCACCAGACTCCAATTAAGAAGGTGATGCCAACACTACCCTGTCTTCTGTGCACCCCCAACGATTTCACATTCACATTAGCCCTTGATAAGACTTCCACAGCCCACTGGGGAGATTCTATGACAGGGATCACTTGTCTTCGCTCTTGACCATGAGGATCATGGTCATGTATGTGAGATGAATCTATGTGACTGTATGTAATTATGGCTCCCTGCCTTTCCTCACCACATAGGTTTGCAATATATGAAGATCATTATCCCACTCTTAAGAAAACTTGACTCTTTTCCTGCTATTGTCTTTTATGTATATGACTATGGCAGAAATTCATAGGACTGTAATAGCTTGGTAATGGGGTTGATGTACAGAATTTACATCTCTAAGTTCTGCAAAATTATTTTAGTCACTTATGCACATACTCTCTTGGGTGTCTAGATTAGCTACACAGTGTTAACCTTTTTTCATTTATTTAGTGGTCATTTAGATGATCTTTTGGTGGTAGTTTTACTGTTTAAATTTTTAAACTATGTCCTGCACTTTTTTCCTGGTTTGAGAAGATTTCTTTGCATATTCTAAGTCTGATCACTTTATTGGTTACATAATTTTCTAATATCTTCTTAATCTTGTGGCTTGTGTTTATTACCATCTAATGGCATCTGATATCTTTTTAAGAACAGAAATTCTTAAACTTCATCAATCTTTTTATGATTATTAATTCTGTGTCATTTGAAGAAAGTCTCTAACTACAATAATCACAGAGTCCTTCATTTGCATTTAAGAAGTTCAGTTGTTCATCATTCCCTACAGTGAATCAAAATTCATTTGAAATAAATTTTCACATCTGGTTTTAAATAATTTCAAGTTCCATTTGTCTTTGTCTTTTCCTTTTTGCCATATATGAGTTCATCATTTATAAAAATAACTGCCTTCTACCAAATATACAAAGCCAATTTTGTCATGAGCCAGTGTCCATGTACATATAGATATGCTTCTACATTCCATTCTTTTCTATTAGACTATTTGCTTATGCTCACATCATGTCATGAAAAATTACTAAGTGTAATAATTAAACTATATTACACCTCAAAAAAGCAGATAGTTTTACTGTCAAAATAGTAAAAACCAATTATAACTATAAAATATGTAAGAGTTAATACAAAACATGTACTCCCCTAAATAACTTAAGAAAAATTCAAAATTTTCAAGTTGTTGGTGTGTGTCAGAGTCCTGTGTCAGAAGAGTATACCATGGTCATGGATGGTCAATGCCATGAAGATCGTCATTTTGAAGCTTAGTTTACAGACACAATGGTTTTCTGTAAGACCAGATTTCTTAAACTATTAACAAAATGATTTTACATCGGCATATGGACCAGACATAAAGCATCCAAACAACTGAGGAAAATGAGAGCAAGAAGGGAAGGAGCATGTCCTACAAACAGCAAGAACCCTTTCAAAATTGCAGTAACCTAAGCTGTGTGCCATTTATGTATGGAAAGATACAATTCTCAGGTGATAGAAAACACTTGAAAATTATTGGGCCTCAAAAACAAGGAGGAATTGTACTTTTAAAAGGTCACAGTAGGGCCGGCTGTATAGCTCAGCAGACTAAGCACTCATTTAGGTAAGCACAGGGGCAGGGTTCGATCCCTGGCTCTGCATGCTGCGCTGGCCCCGCCCCCCAATGTGCTGAGCCAGTGATGGAGTCCAAGTGTGGTGTGCGCGCCTGTAATCCCAGCACTAGGGAAGCAGAAATCAGGAGGATCACTAAAAGTCTGAGCTGCATAGTGAAACCTTGCACAAAATAAATAAATAAATAAATAAATAAATAAATGCCACAGATTTGACACACTTATCACAATGAAGAGTGATAGAGAAAACAGGGACACACAGAGTGCTGGTTCATTTCACTGGCTCAGTTATGTTGAGAAAAATGCAGGCAGATGAATAAATAAATAAATAAATAAGAACTGAATGTGGTATAGTTGCTCACCAGGCACAATCAAACTCCAAATAACTCAAGGCAGCTAGAGCCCAATATTCCCTTCTTAGGGAATTTATTAATCTAGAAAGGCTGGACAGGCAAAACGCACAGAGACAGAGAGTGAAATCAAGCACAAGAGCCAAGTGTCGGGACAAATACCTTTCTGCTTTCACTTCTGTTCTAATCATGAAAGCTATCTTTAATGCAACAAGAAAGGAAAATATTAATAAAATGTATCAATTTGGAAGCAAAGTAAAAGACGCTATCATTTAATTAAGAATAATGGAAAAAAGAACTGCTGCCTAGAACTAATAAAACAACTACAAAATACTATTGGAACAAATGAAACAGAAACTAACTAAAGGGGGAAATATGCCATTTTTATTTTGGGGTATTTTGTTTGTTTGTTTGTTTTGTCTGTTTTGAGACAGGATCTCACTATGCAGTTCAGGCTGGCCTTGAGCTTACTTTGTAGCCCAGGCTGGACTTGAACTTACAGTAATCCTCCTGCCTCAGCTTCCAAAGTGCTGGGATTACAGGTGTGTACCACCATGCTAGGCCATATGCCCTGCTCATGGAAGGAAAACATAACATTTTCAGGTTCCAGTTCTTTCCATCTTGATGAATAGCTCCAATTCCAGACAAAATCCCATGAAATTACTCTATGGTTTCTACAGTGTAGATCTAGAACGTCCAACAATGGCATACGTGCTGGGGGCTTGTCCCTCTGGTTGTGCCACCAGCAGGAAGGGATAAGGCTTTAGAAGGTGAAGCCTACCAAAGAGATTTAGCAACCCTGGAGGGACACTGTGTGACCAGCCTACACTCTCACATTGTGCTTCCCAGCAGCCAAGGGAGAAGCATTTCCCTCTCCATGTGCTGTGGTTTAGATCCAAAATTTGCCCCCAGGTCCTCATGTGGGTGGAAGGTGACTGGATCATGAGATGCTACCTCCATTAGTAAATTCATCCACTGACAAGTCTGTTAGGTAAGTGTGTTACTAGGAGGTGGTTTGTGGGAGGTCGGTCTCTGGGGGCACAAATGGAAGGGT